ATGACTAGAAAGATTATATAGATTGACTACGGACACACGGGCAACTTGAGCGAGCTGTCGCAGTCAAATCCGTGTTTGCGCGTGCGTCGCGAATTTAAACGTAATTAAATCGTCGATCATTTAAATTGAACTATTGTCGATGGGCAAAATATAATTGAATCGTCGATCATTTAAATTTAACTATTATAATTGATGGGTGAATTAAATTCATTAAAATTGAATTGGGGTGAAAACTGACGCGAAATGACCGGAACGTAGCTCGACTCTGTAGAAATGCTACCTTTCCCCCATTCGTCGGCTGTGGCTAAACTCGCGTCTGTTCGATATTCCAGGGCTGCGAAAGAGAAGAAGAAGTCTGATAAGGCGGTGAAGAAGGCACAGACAAAGGTGAGTAACGACGTTCAGACTTTTGAAATCCGATTACCCCCCCCCTCTTAACGAGTCGGATTTAGAGCGTTTCGACTGCGCGTCTAATCCCCGTTTCGTGAGATCGGGTCCTAGATTTCTGGTTTTCATACAGTCATTATTACACGTTTGCCTCGCTCCCCTCTAGTATCGTAGACGTCCGCCTGTTTAGCTTCGCTCGCAGGCGCAGCAGACGTGAAACGCGCAGCAGACGCGCAGCTAAAACGAAGCGAAACCTTGTCGCGCCGAAAGTGTCGGTGATAGGGAAGGCTGCTTTGTTAGTTTTCATGGTCTTGGAATATCACTTATTTGGTCGAACACGGCTCTGTGCAGTTTTTTTTCTATCTGAAATTCTAAGTCACGTCTGTGGCCGGCATTTGGAAAGACTACGAACAGCTGAAACTGATGCCTGCAATAATAAAAACAGTCGTTGCTGCCCTCCCTAAATAATTTACCTCAGTGTTCTTCCTAAAAATGCCGTGGTGTGCATACACCCCTCTTTGCCTCTTTGTGCCAGATAAAAAAAGTGTTTAAAAGTTTCCACTGCAGGGAACGTTTGCTTTTCTGCCTCTCTAACTCGTCCTAACGTAAACACTTATGTTGCCTCTAAAACACTTAATTTCACATGAGTATAATTTCAATGATGATAATCATAATAATGATAATCATGGTAATCATAATAATAATAATAATCATAATATATAAAGGTAGCTGAACTCTTCCGTCGCATCTCTCCCCTGCATTATAATAATAATAATAATGAAGATGATGATGCTAGCTAAACGCTCCTTCATCGCGTCTCTTTCCCTTGCAGGTGTTTCAGTTTGTGAGTGCGAAGACGGAATCGCTAAGCGCGCACAAGTACAACCCCCGCAAGGTCTGCTGGACTGTGCTGTACAGACGTCGCCACAAGAAGGGACTGCAGGAGGAGGCATCGAAGAAACGCTCGCGCAAGGCCACGAAGTTTCAGCGCGCCATCACAGGTGCGACACGATTCCCGCCGCCCTGCCCGTCCGTATCGCTAACGCGCGCGCATATACAAACACGGACGCGAGAGCACACGCACGCACAGACATACATACATACTCTAAGGAAGAAACGCTCACGCAATGCACAGAAGTTTCAGCACGCCATCACAGGTGTGACACAATTCCCGCCGCCCCGCCCGTCCGTATCGCTGACGAGCGCGCATATACAAACACGGACGCGAGCACACGCGTAGACATACATACGTACTCGAAGGAAGAAACGCGAGTGCAAGGCCACGAAGTTTCAGCGCGCCATCACAGGTGCGACACGATTCCCGCCGCCCCGCCCGTCCGTGTCGCTGACGAGCGCGCATATACAAACACACATTGTCAAATGCGCACGCGCGCACACACACACACACATTGCAGGGTTAGAAATTAACTTTTGTACAACTGGACTCCCTGCCCTTAAAATGAGGGAGTCCGCAGTCTGAAGTTCAAAACGAAAGCACAACAACAAGAACGCATGTGCGTATTTTGAAGATTCACGCGATGCACGTCTGCCAAATTTTCTTTGGACATTAGCTGAAAAATACGGTAATTCTGCGAGGCCGTGCTCTGGAACGAACTAGTTAGTAACGCAGAATTTTCAGGGAGTCACATGTACTCCTGCAGTGAAAAAAATACACGGGGGCTCGGGGCGATTTAGCCCCCGAAATGCCAAAAA